AAATGGCCACAATGGCTGGAGCTGTGCTGATCTGAAGCCAGGAGCCTGGTCTTCCACATGAGTGCAGGGGCCAAGCACTTGGGCCATCTTCTACTGGTTTACCAGGCCACAGCAGAGAGCTAGATTGGAAGAGGAGCAGCCAGGACTAGAACAGGCACCCATATGGGATTCCCAGCACTGCAGGTGGAGGATTAACCTAGTATGCCATGGTGCCGGCCCCACAGATTATAGGAGAGTACAATGAATTATTACATGTTAACAAATTTGATAACTTCAAACAAATGAACAAATTCTTGGATGAATATACCTCACCGAGATTAAACAGAATACCTAAACAGACTAGTAATGAGAAACAAGTTGAATCAGTGATATTAAAAACAAAAAAACAAAACAAAACAAAATCCTCCCATCATAGAAAATTTCAGGACGAGAAGGCTTTACCATTGAATTCTATCAAACTTTTCAAAAAAAAAAAAAGTGACATCAATTCTTATTTCCAAAAATAGAAGAGGGAGGAATTCTTCCCAATTAATTATATCAGAGCAGAATTACCTTGATATCAAAACTAGACAGGATATAATAACAACAACAATAATAACAAGAGCCACATGGCTAGTATCTCTGATGAACATACATGCAGAAATCTTCAACAAAATCTGAGAAAACCAAACCAAACAGTAGTACAATGATCAGCCTCTATAATCAAGTGGGATTCAAACCAGGGTTTCACAGATGATTTAGTATACATAAATCAATAAATGTGATACACCACATCAACAGAATGAAGGACAAAAACCATATGATTATCTCAAGAGATATATGAAAGATACTTGATAAAACTAAATTTCCCTTTATGACAAAATATCTGACCAAATCCAGTATAGAAGGTAACTTCAACAAAAGCTAATGTCACAGTGAATGGGGGAAAACTGAAGGCTTTCTCTCTGATATCTGGAACAATACAAGGATGTTGAAGTTCACCATTTTTATTCAACATAACGCTGGAAGTTGTACCTAGAGCAGTCAGACAAGAGAAAAAAATAAAGGACATCTAAATCGAGAAGGAGAAAATAAAATTGTCACTGCTTGCCAATGATATGATCTTATGTATAGAAAACCCCGAAAACTCCAACAAAAATTGTTAGAATAAACAAATTCACCAAATAAGCAATACGCAAAATAAACATACAAAATCAATAGCATTACAAAACAACAGAGGATCATCTTATCATCTTGAAAAGATATCATTAAAACAATCTCACTTGCAAAAACTACCAAAAAATTGGAAATAAATTTAGCAAAAGAGGTGAAAGATCTCTACAATAAAAAGTGCAAACCGGCCATCGCCGTGGCTCAACAGGCTAATCCTCCGCCTAGCGGTGCCGGCACACCGGGTTCTAGTCCTGGTCGGGGTGCTGGATTCTGTCCCGGTTGCCCCTCTTCCAGGCCAGCTCTCTGCTGTGGCCCGGGAGTGCAGTGGAGGATGGCCCAAGGGCTTGGGCCCTGCACCCCATGGGAGACCAGGATAAGCACCTGGCTCCTGCCTTCGGATCAGCATTGGAGGGTGAACCAACGGCAAAAGGAAGACCTTTCTCTCTGTCTCTCTCTCTCACTGTCCACTCTGCCTGTCAAAAAAAAAAAAAAAAAAAAAAAGTACAAACCACTGATGAAAGAAACTGAAGAGAACACAAAAAAAAAGGAAAGACATCCCATGTTGATTGACTGGAAGAATGAACGTAATCAGAATGTGCATACAACATAAAATGATTTAGTTTCAATCTAATCCCTATCAAAATACTAATAATATTTTTTACAAAACTAGAAAAAAAATCACTGACATTTGTTTGTAATAACAAAGGATCCTGAATAGCCAGGGGTCTTGGCAAAAAGAACAAAGCAGTAAGCATCTATTTGACTTTAAAATATGTTACAAAACTATAGTAACTAAAACAGCATGGTAGGGCTGGCACTTTGGCACAGTGAGTAAAGCTTCCACCTGCTGTGCTAGCATTCCATATGTGTGCCAGTTTGAGTTCCAGCTGTTCCACTTCTGATCCAGCTCCCTACTAATGTGCCTGGAAAAGCAGCACCCATGTGGGAGACCCAGAAAAAGCTCTAGGCTCCAGTTCCAGCCATTGCAGCTATTTGGGAAGTGCATCAGTAGATGGAAGACCGACCTCCCTCTCTCTCTCTCTCTCTCTCTCTCTCATGCATCTCTGTAATTCTGCCTTTCAAATAAAAAAAATTTTTTTTGAGAAAAAAAAGACAGTATGGTATTGGCATAAAAACAGATTCAGGGGCCGGCGCCACGGCTCAACAGGCTAATCCTCTGCCTAGTGGAGGATGGGCCAAGTGCTTGGGCCCTACACCCCATGGGAGACCAGGATAAGCACCTGGCTCCTGCCGTGGAAGAAAAAAAAAAAAAAAAAAACACAGATTCAGGAGCCAGTAGAACAGAATAGAAGTTCTACAGACAACTGATATTTGACAAAGATACTAAGAATATGCACTGAACAAAGGATAGTCTTTTTAATAAATAGCATTGGAAAACTGGATCTCTATGCACAGAAGCATCAAACTGCACTGAAAACAGAACAAAGAGCTAATTGTGAAACAGAACAGAACTTTGAAATTACTAAAATGAAAACAAATGGAAAACAACTCAGAACACTGGAATGAACAAGGACTTTCTAGATTTAAGTCAAAACCCACAGGAAATACAAAGCAAAATAAACAAATGGAATTTCATCCAACTAAAGAATTTTGGCACAGCAAAAGAAACAATCAACAGAAAAAAGAGACAATCTACAGAATGTGAGAAAATATTTGTAAGCTGTACATCTGACAAGGGTTAATATCCACAATATATAAGGAATTAAACAATTCAATAGCAAAAGAAAAGAAAAAGAAATTTGCTTAAAATAGGCACTATATCTAAACAGACATTTCTCAAAAGAAGATATACAAATGGACAACAGGTAGATGAAAAATGCTCAAGATCACTAATCATCAAGGAAATGAAAATCAAAACCACAATGAGATATCACTTCAACTCAAATAACATTGACTATTATTAAAAAGACAAAAGTTAACAAGTGTTAACAAGAATTTGGAAAAGGGGACACTTGTATAACTGTTGGTGGGAATGTAAATTGGTATAATCATTAAACAGTATGGCGGATCCCCAAACAACTAAAAACGGAGCTACCATATGATCAAGCAATTTTATTCCTGGGTATATATCCAAGGGAAATGAAATCCATCTGTCAAAAATGGCACCGGCACCCCCGTGTTTACTGCAGCACTATTCACAGTAGCCAGGAAATGGAAACAACCTAAGTGTTGATCCACTGATGAGTGGATAAAGAAAATACAGCATATATACATATATAAAAGGATAAAATCTTGCCATCTGGAACAACATAGATGGAACTAGAGGTCATTACGTTAAGTGAAATAAGCCAGTCCTAGAAAGATAAATATCACATGTGTACACTCATATCCAGAGTCTAATAGTGATCTCGTAAAAGTTAAAAAACATAATGGTGGTTACCAGAGGTAGGCAAGGTGTTTGGAGAGGAAGGGATGGGGAAAGGTTGAACGACAGGTACTAAGTGATAGCTACAAAGGAGTAAGTTCTGGGGGTCTGGTCGGTCTTGTGGCTCAGCAGGTTAAGCCACTGCCTGAAATGTGGGCATCCCATATGGGTGCTGGTTCAAGTCCCAGCTGCTCCACTTCTAATCCAGGCCCCTGCTAACGCACTTGGGAAAGCAGCAGAATATGGTCCAAGTTCTTGGCCACATGGAAGGCTGGATGAAGTTCCATACTCCTGGCTTCAGCTTGGTGCAGCCCTAGCTGCTGGAGCCATTTGGGGAGTGAACCAGCAAATGGAAGATTTCTCTCTCTCTCTCTCTCTCTCTGTAACTCTAGTAAATAAATAATTTTTTTAAAAAAGTAGTGGCTCTGAGGTAACTATAGATAATGTACTGCATATTTTTCTTTCAAAAAACAAACAACATAGGATTTGGGGTGCTTTTGCTACAAGAAACATTACATACTTAAAAGGATAAATAATTTTCCTGACTGGATATTACACTATTCACACACACAATAAACATCATCTAGTTCCCCATAAATAGTCACAATTTTATGCCTATTAAAATAGCTTTAATAAGCAATGGGACTATATCATCTCAATAGTAAACAGGGAAATGAAAATTGAAACAAATGCAAAATAATCGTTTTGCCTATTGGGTGACAATGTGAGATTTGATAACATTCAGCACTCCAAAACCTATAGAAAAAACACTCATTTCTTATTGATGGAAAAGAGAGTATATATAGAGTATGTATTATGTTTCATAAAATAAAACTAGTAATATTAAGCTTTATAATATGCATATTCCCTATTTTTTTCAACTTTTATTTAATAAATATAAATTTCCAAAGTACAACTTTTTAATTATAGTGGCTTTTCCCCCCATAACCTCCCTCCCATCCACAACCATCCCATCTCCCACGCCCTCTCCCATCCCATTCTTCATCAAGATTAATTTACAATTATCTTTATAAACATAAGATCAACTTAGTATATACTAAGTAAAGATTTCAACAGACTGCACCCACAAAGACACACAAAGTATAGAGTACTGTTTGAGTAGTAGTTTTACTGTTAATTTGCAAAGTACAATACAATAAGGACAGAAGTCCTACATGGGGAACAGGTGCACAGTGACTCCCGTTGTTGATTTGACAATGAACACTCTTATTTGTGACGTCAGTAATCACCCTAGGCTCTTGTCATGAGCTGCTGAGGCTATGGAAGTCTCTGAGTTCACCAACTCTGATCTTATTTAGACAAGGCCATATTCAAAGTGGAAGTTCTCTCCTCCCTTCAGAGAAAGGTACCGCCTTCTTTGATGGAAGAAGGTGGAAACCTTCTTTCCATTGGGATCTCACTCACAGAAATCTTTCATTTAGGTCATCGTGTTTCTTTGAGCTTTTTTGTAATAAAAGCCACAGTGTCTTGGCTTTCCATGCCTGCGAAACTCTCATGGGCTTTTTAGCCAGATCCGAATGCCTTAAGGGATGATTCTGAGGCCAGAATGCTGTTTAGGGCATTTGCCATTCTATGAGTCTGCTGTGTATCCTGCTTCCCATGTAGGATCATACTCTCCTTTTTAATTCTATCAATTATTATTTGCAGATACTGGTCTTATTTATGTAATCCCTTTGACACTTAACCCTATCTTTTTGATCAATTATGAACTGAAACTGATAACTTTAACAAGTAAGATGGCATTGATACATGCCACCTTGATGGGGTTGAATTGAAATCCCCTGGCATGTTTCTAGCTCTATCATTAGGGGTAAGTCCAAGTGAGCATGTGCCAAACTCCCTGACTATTTTCATTTCTGACCCCAAATACTGCTTATTTTTCATGTCACAAAAAAGTATTCATTCATTATACAGGAAAATGTCTTCCCAAAAAATGTTTGATAGTGAAAAATAATTCTTATATGTAAATTATGAAGTTCCTTAGAAAGTTTAGTGATGAATTAAATCAACTAATATGAATTAAAATCTTTTTTGCTCACTCCATCTATTAGCACAGTACTATATATGACCATGGTACAATGTAAATGGGGAACATACACTGTAATAAGTTGGAAATGTGATTAGATTTTCTTTCCCTAAGAGGAAAAAGAAAAATTTAATTTTCTGTCCATTTATAAAAAAAACCTTGGGGTAAATGCTAAGATACAGAGTGGAGGAAGGGATTTATCCTAGTGGATAGAGGTATAATACACAGCAGTATTTCTCTGCAGGATGAGAGGTATGGGAAGGTGTGCCTCAAGAATGAAAGAGCTGGGACTTGATCAGGTTCTGAGAGGCAGAAAACAGTCTATGAAAAACCATGTCCGATATCTCCTTACTTCCTTACTTCAAAGAAATACAGGTTTTCTCATTTTAATTATTCTGAAACTGGGGTGAGTCTTACATTCATTGACAGGTTGCAATCACTGCTGGGCAGATAGCCAGTTTGATATGGTTGTCATTGTCTTGATCCCAAATATGTTGTCACTCCCTCTAAGTTTAGAATATTTTTGCTGCTATAAGTGTTGAGTTTTTTTTTCCTTTAAGATGTCTTCTAAAAGATTATACTGTGATTCAGGATTAATGTGTAAGTCACTACATTTGCATAAATATACGAAAATTGAGCAGTAGGCAATAAATTTCATTTTAGCGAAACAAATATCATATCAGGAATGACTAAAGCCCCATATTTCCTTATAAACAATAACCATGTGCTTTGTAAAACTTAAGAAAATAAAATACCCAGAAGTATATAAAGTTGTTTTAGGATTTGTTATTAAGGTACATACAAAAGAGTTTGCCCATCAAATGCCACGTCCAGGAACTGAAACAGAAGAAATTGCTAAATTGCTTGGAATTGGTGAAAGAAAATGAATAGTAATGTGACTGATTCATACAACATGTAGGACTATCTTCAAGCCATTACATCATAGTTAAACTGATAGCATTTTTCTTCCTAACACAGTCCAATGGTATGTCTTTTGATCAATGCCATAATGGATTTAATGAAATAAGAGTAAAATATATTTTTCACTATTGAAAATTTAAAAGAAATATTGGGTTCCTGATTTAAAGTTACAGAAATCCATGAATAATATTCTAAAGTGGTACAAATAAAGAACAATCTTTAATAACTAAGCAAGGAAAGACATGTTGGGCATGGAGCCATCAAATTCTCAGGTTAAGAAATAGTTTGAGAGTTACTGCTTTATACTGACCTGCAGTCCCTTTGTGGCCCTTTTATGTATGCTTTACATATGCCTGTACAAGGTACTGAGTCTCAGCCTCAGTTCTCTACTCCACAAAACAGGTATAATAATCCCGGTACGAAAATTTATGGGGATTAAAAAGACACCACAAATAAATAGTACATCAAGCCTTTGACATAAATGCTCATTTAAATCCTAGTCCTGGGCACCTGGCACAGTAAGATGCCCACATTCCATATGGAGTGCCTGTGTGTGACAAACACTCCAGTTCTAATTCCAGCTTCCTGGAAATGGGAGATAACTTAAGTATTTGGGTCCCTGCTACCCACATGAGTCCAGATTGAGTTCCAGGCTTCTGGTTTCAGTTTGGCCAAGCCCCAGCTAATGCAGACATTTGGGGAGTGAATCTCTGTTTGTGTGTATGTGTATTGTTCAAACAAATAAAAATTTTAAAAATTAATAAGCTTAATAAAGAAAATGCCAGTTCTTGTGTTTTCTCTAAAAGAATGCCACATTTAAATGAAATTCTTGTTTGTAAGGTTTATGTCATCAGACTCTAAGAACTGTGAGGTGACGGCTGGTGCTGTGGCACAGTGGGCTCAGCTGCTACTTAGGATGTCAGCATCCCATATGGCTTCCAATACAGTCCCCTGTTAGATAGCCTAAGTAACTGTGGTCCTGATTCCCATGTGGAAGATCGAAATAGTGTGTCAGGCTCCTGACTTTGGCCTGGCCTAACCCTGGTCATTATGGCCATTTGGGGAGTGAGCCAGCAGACAGAAGGTCAGTCTCTTTCTCTTTCTTACTCTTACTCTTTTTCTTCTACTCCCTTCCTCTCTGGCACTTTTTCAAACAAAAATTAATAATAAAAGTAAATATTTTTTTAAAAAGTTAAAAGAACCATGAAGTGTTAAAACTCCAACCCTGGGCCGGCGCCGCGGCTCACTAGGCTAATCCTCCGCCTAGCGGCGCCAGCACACCAGGTTCTAGTCCCGGTCGGGGCGCCGGATTCTGTCCCGGTTGCCCCTCTTCCAGGCCAGCTCTCTGCTGTGGCCAGGGAGTGCAGTGGAGGATGGCCCAAGTCCTTGGGCCCTGCACCCCATGGGAGACCAGGAGAAGCACCTGGCTCCTGCCATCGGATCAACATGGTGCGCCGGCCGCAGCGCGCCAGCCGTGGCAGCCATTGGAGGGTGAACCAATGGCAAAGGAAGACCTTTCTCTCTGCCTCTCTCTCTCACTGTCCACTCTGCCTGTCCAAAAAAAAAAAAAAAAAAAAACCTCCAACCCTGAAACATCAGGATCTAGCATTAGAAAACTTGATAATCAATTGATTAGAATAATATCTTCACTTGATGTGATACCTCTTTTCAGATATACTTCAATCTTAAATATTATTATAATTCTTTACTTGGAAGCTGCAACTAGCTGAGAAATCTACCTTTTTTAAAAAGATTTATTTATTTATTTGAAAGGCAGAGTACAGAGAGGGAGAGGCAGAGGCAGAGGCAGAGGCAGAGAGATCTTCCATTTACTGGTTCACCCCGTCAAGTGGCCACAATGGCCAGGGCTAGGCCAGGCTGAAGCCAGGAGCCAAGGGCTTCTCCATGTCTCCCAAATGAGTACAGGGGCCCAAGACTTGGGCCATCTTCCACTGCTTTCCCAGACACATTAGCAGGGAGCTTCATTGGAAGTTGGGCAGCCAGGACTGGAATCAGTGCCCATGTGGGATGCTGGCACTGCAGGAGGCAGCTTAGCCCACAAAACCATAGCACCAGCACTGAGAAGCAGTCACCTTTTGCTGCTGTTTACTTGGAAGTTGCCTAGAGAGAAGATCTCCTAAACCAGAAGTGGTTCATTATGGTTTATTTTTTCATTGATATCTTAATTGTCATCACTGATTATAGCTTAGCAAACAGTTGAGATGCAAAATCAAACCAAGAAACAGGTTTACTTTTATAAATTTGGAAGGGAAAGATTAATCTCCGGAAAAAAAAAATAGAGAATATTTCTGTTTAATTTCAACCATCACCAGACATGTTAATCATATAAATGTCAAAATGCAAAAACAGATAAAATGTCACAACAATACAATAAACAGGTTGCTTTAAAGTCATAAAATTTATGTTTTATTACTGCTCAGATGATTATCAAACTCTACAAATTCACTCTAGAGGGATACCTACATAGCATCACAACAAGGATTACGGCTCTAGGGACTGTGAGAGTACTGCCTCTATTCCCCCATCAGTATTACAACAAGGGGAAACAGTCATTCAAGGAAGCCCTTGTCTTCTGTCTCATGCACTGGACTAAGAATGATAGAGAGAGAGATTTCATACTTTGGATCCTCACAGAATCACTGACTCTTCGAATAAAATTTACGTTTACAAAACAAAATGGATATGTATTCAAAGATGGATAAAGTTAAACTCCTTTATGTTTAGTTCTATAGATATGTATTCACCATCAACTGTATACTATGAGTGTATGTTGCCAAAAGTGTAGAACCTACTAAGGAAAGTTATCATATGAGAAATTTTTAATGTCTAATATTGTTAATACACAATAAGTTGTGTGAGGATGATAATATTCCTCTGCAAGCATGTTTGCAAGGTTCTCTGGACTACCTCATTCCATATTCTAACTTGAGACCTATATGTTAATCCAAAGGAATACAAAGTTTGCAGAACCCTTGTCTAAATCCACCACTTTTGGAATCCCTATTTACAACTGCATTGCAGGTAGCTCATGTGCAACATTAACACTCTTACTCCAAGAAATTTATTTCTTAGCAGTCAAAAACAATGCTCGGCCTGCGCCGCGGCTCACTAGGCTAATCCTCCGCCTTGCAGCGCCGGTACACCAGGTTCTAGTCCCGGTCGGGAAACTCTGGATTCTGTCCCGGTTACCTCTCTTCCAGGCCAGCTCTCTGCTGTGGCCAGGGAGTGCAGTGGAGGATGGCCCAAGCACTTGGGCCCTGCACCCCTGGGAGACCAGGAGAAGTACCTGGCTCCTGGCTTTGGATCAGCGCGGTGCGCCGCTGCAGTGCACAGGCCGCGGCAGCCATTGGAAGGCGAACCAACAGCAAAGGAAGACCTTTCTCTCTGCCTCTCTCTCTCACTGTCCACTCTGCCTGTCAAAAAAACAAACAAACAAACAAAAAATGCTCTATTTCTATCCTTACTTCATGGAGAAGTAATAACAACATACCCCATGGAGAGAAGGCTGAGTACAGGCTTAGAACTGAATTCAAATTTCATTACTTAGCAGTGTAAACCCATGCAAATAATCACTTCTCTGAACTCGTTTTATCCTTTGTAAATGAGGTTACTAATACTTACCACTTTGGTTTATTTTTGAGGATTAAGTGAGATGGTATATAGAAATGAATAACTAAGTTTAGTATGTGATAAGTTTTTAAAGAGTTTTTATTATTATTATTATGTTACATTCTCCAGTTAATCAATATCAAAAAAAAACTAGTTATTCAGATAAGATCTCAGAAAGAACATTCTTCAGTCTAGTGTAGCAGTACCAAATATTAACCATACCACTCACTTAACAAGACCTACACAACCAGTCTCAGCATTGTTAATTAAGCTATGTGAAGCATTTACTAGATATATCCATCATACTTCAGAGGAAACCAGTTGGCTTGCAGACACTTAACACTATACAAAAATAACATCAACCAGTTATTGAGAAACACTTGTGTGCACCCTCTAATATAATCTTTCAAAACCGTGCTATCCTTCTTTGAAGGATGGAGTCTCATTTCCTCTCCTCTTCAAAGTGAGTGTGATTTTGTAATTGACTCAAAAAAAAAAATAAAATGCAACAAAAGAGACACCACAAAATTCTCAGGGTTAGGCTGTAGAAAGCAATGTGGTTTTTATCTGGCTCTCTCTCTAGGGATGCTTCCTTTTGGAACCCAACTATAATGCTGTATTAATGCCAACCAGCCACACAGAACACTCTGCATAGGTGTTCTCTCTACAACCCCTGTAAAGGTTACAATAACAACCAACATTAATCCTCAAATATGTAAGTGAGACCTCAATTAATTCCAGTCCAAGCTTTCCAGCTAACCCAGTTGATGCCATCTCGAGCAGAGATACAGTATTTCTACTGTTCAACTTTTCCCCCTTATTTTCCTTCCTATACTAATTACTTCTGCCATAAATCTTGTCCTTATCAACTCACACATACAGCATTTCAAGCAGCTCCTAACTACCTTCTCTATTCTCTACTCCTTAAAACCTTCTAAAGTATACCTAATAACAGGTCAATATTCTGAAAGAATTAATATTATCCTACCATCCCACCATTAAAAAGTACTCAACAGTTTCCTATTGTCCCAAAAATAAAGCCCAACTGCACTGCAAAGACTTCCAAATTCTGCCCCAAATTAACAACTCTTACATCTTGTCTTCATCTGCCAACATGAGCCTCCTATGCAGCCAATCAGAACTATTTTCTGTTTCTTACTAGAGCCTCTTAAATCTGAACTCCTATGCAACTTATAACATCCTTATAGTCATCCCATCCAGTTGGGTATGCAAGACCTGGCTCAAATAGTGTAATGACAGCCTGTTTTCAAATATTCAAGAACATTGCAAACTAGTAGTTAAATTATTGATAGCTTGAAATTGGTAATCATGAAAGTATTACACCAAAGAAACTAGAAAACACTACATGTCAGAGTTTTGCAGAATGGACTGATCAGCACATTGTTGCCCTCATCTTTGCTTCACGTACTCAAATGTACCTACACTTTGGATGCAGATCAAGTGCAACCCTCCGTATAATGTACCCCCTGCTCACTGGATGTATATTATTTGCTATTCTCCTATAGCCTGTGTAAATTTCCTATTTGTCCTTAAAAACACACTACTTTGAAGAAAATGTTTCAATAATACAGCCACAAAAAATGAGGAAAGGGTAATGATTTGGTTTGGCTTGGCTTGATCATGATTTAAAAATAGCATTTAATGGCATGCCATGTGCATTACAGGTATCCAAGGAGTCATTGAATATCTCAAGGGTACTCTAGAAACTCCAGAAGTAGATCCCTCAAGACTTTAACATATTTCCCAAGCAAGAAAGAAAATTGTTTGGGGAAGTTTTATGTCTATATAATATCTTGACTATCTAAAATAAATTTGAAATTATTGGCATGCAAATACATATAAACACAAAACAACCTAATAAAATAGAAAACTTTGATAAAAAGGGAAATGAGTTTGTACTAACTAGAATAGAAAATGCTATATTTAACCACTACATTTTGCCCTATGATTCCTTCCAACCAAAGCAAGATAATGGGAATGTAATGAGTCACATTACTGGAAATGTCAGTTTCTCACTATAGGAAAGAGAAAGCATTCATAGAAAGAGATAGTATTTTCCTCTGCTAAATTCTGAAAAGCATATTTTTCTGAAGCGTGTGTATGAAATAAGTGATATAATGGATATATCCTCAATAATGTTTTTACAGAAGTAAAATATAGTCTGTTTCTCATAGTATGCCTCAGTCAAGACTAAGGTCACATCCTTGAGAAATAATTCCTTCTAGATGTCTCTACAGACAAGTGTATGCAGACCCAATATTCAAATATAAGGTAAATGAAAACAATTCATATGGTATACAGTATATCCCAGAGATATACTATAAACAGAGATTTTAATCAGGACCTTGTCCAAAAGTGGCTAGGAGAAGAGTAAGACCTGAGGCAATCCAAAGATGAATCAGCTGTACAAAAATGAGGACAGTAAGCAGAAGAAAGCTGTCAAAAATCAAAACAATGAGATAGGAAGGATGAATGTCAGAGAGTGAGTGCTACAATACAGCTGGAATTCGTATGCCACAGGCATTTGAGTGGATGAGGAGGTCATTTTAAGAGATCTGGGGGTGGGAGCATTTAGTATAACAGTTAAGAAGTCAGTGAAGATATCCATGTCTTATATTCCAGTACCTGGGTTCAACTCCTGGCTCTGGCTTTCCATTCCATTTGTTGTCAATGCAGATCCTGGGAGGAAGCTGATGATGGCCTAAGTACTTGAGTCCCTGCCACCCACGTGGGAGACCTGGATTGAGCTCCCAGCTCCTGGTTTTGGCCTGGCCCAGTCATGGGACATTGTGAGCATTGTAGGCCTTTAATATTTTTATATATTTTATTTATATTAGAAATGTATATATTTCTCTCTTTCTCGGTATATGTGTTTCTCTCCGTTTCAGTATGTATTAACTTTTGTACTTAACTCATTCTGCAGAGGTAAGGGGGAAATCTGCTTCTCAAATAAAAAATAGACATGAAATTGAATGGATGAGCAAAATCAACATGTTTTGGAAAATAAGAAGGTCATATGGCTGATCTATTTCCTACTAAAAATGTTGTTTCATATAACAAGTATTGCCTTTAAAAAGGCCGTCTATTTCTCCTTTAAAGTGTATAGAAAGAACATATAAGATGTTTTTGCAAGAAATGTTTCTCAGCTTTAGACTGTTAAAGCTGAACATCTGAAAAAATGCTTGATAAAGTCTCCAGATTGCCCACCAGATCCCATGGTTGATGGTCATTTTTACTGGGGAGGAGGGTACCTGAAAATATTTCTCTGTAAGTAGTATCAGTCATCTGCTGTGGCCATCAGAATACCTCAGGTATGTACACCAACAGTAAAATGAATGCATAATCACAGCACCTGCCAGGACAAGGCAACTGCAAAAGTGATCTCTAGAAGACTGAAGGACTTAACTTGCTATTTAATGTTGACCAGCAAAATTGATAAATGTCTGATAAATTCAAGGGTCTCAATTTAGTGAATATGGAGCCATAGTTCCAACAGAAAGCAGATTCCAAAACCAATTCCTTCCAATGCAGCTAGGTCTAATGATGGGATCATAAAACCAGACCACCTGCATTTGGGAAAATATTTCCACTTCCATGTATCATGGAAAAAGAAAGAGGTTTATGCTTCTTTCAACCATAAAACTCTATGGCTTAGTTATATCAAAGTTCATGAGATATACTAAAGTTTAGAGTAAACAAAAGACATACATTTCATTTAATATAAAGCAGAACAGAGATGTCCAGATATAATGAATAAAGTAAATTAATACATAGTGTTCTGTCTCTACAAATAGCTGGATATCACATGAATATGATATTGTAGAGTAATAACATTTAGGGCATGATTCAAATAGTGAATACACAGTTAGACTTCATGACAGGTAAGATATCAGTTCTGTGCTTCAAAGTTCCAGTACAACATTTTGTCCAAAATGCTCATCTGGATTTCTGACACTGTGTTACTAAATTTTCTTGACTGGATTTATAATCTCTACAACCTATTTTACCTGCATATTTTTCTTATATATCCTTCCCCACATAGAGAGACATCTTCACGCCTTGCTTCTGTATTCAACCACTCATTGCCAGTGCTAACCTTGCTGCTTATGTGGCTGTAAGGAGAATGTGACTTCTTGCTTCAGTCCTAACACTTGTATCCTGCCAATGACCACATCCTCGAATGATAATCATCAGACATGAGTCTAGCTTATTTTTTAGCAACAGCTAACTCTAAGTAACTCTTAGTGATTCAGTCTTCTTTTTAGGTAGAAGCTGAATTTTTCATATATGAAGTAAAATTTAGATTTTATTTAGTTTTCAAATGTATTGTATTGAGCTGGGTTCACCCAATAAACACATTCCTCTTTACTACCTGATCTCTGCAACAAACACAAAATAAAATTAAAAGGAAAACAGGAGTAGGTTGTTGTCACAGTAGTTAAGGCACCCTTTGGGATCCCCATATCCCATATTGTTTTTGAGTCTCAGTTCTGCTTCCAATTCCAACTTCCTGTTAATGTGCCCCATAGGAGGCAGAAGGTGATGGATCAAGTACTGGGACCCCGCCCTGCACATAGGAGAACCAAATTGAGTTCTGAGCTCCTTCGCTTTGCCCTGTTTCAGGCCCTGTTCTTGCAGGCATTTATGGAGTAACCCAGTGGGTGGAACATCTCTCTTGAATGCTCTCTCTATCCCCAACTCCATCTTTAAAAAAAAAAAAACTTTTAAAAGAATGCATTCTTTTTAATTTACCTTGGGGCCAGCATTGTGGCACAGCAAGTAAAGATACCACCTGCAATGCCGGCATCCCACAGGGGTGCTGTTTCCTATCTTGGCTGCTCCACTTCTGATCCAGCCCCCTGCCAATGGCCTGGAAAAGCAGAAGAAGATGGCCCAAGTTTTTGGGCCCCGGCCACACATGTGGAAGATCTGGATGAAGCTTCTGGCTCCTGGCTTCAGCCCAGCCCAGCCCAGCCCTGGCTGTTGCAACCATCTGGGGAGTGAGCCCAACAGATGGAGGATTTGTGTGTGTGTGTCTCTCTCTCTCAGTTGATTTGACTTTCAGATCATTAAAAAAAAAGATTTATCTATCTATTTGAAAGATATGGTGACAGAGAGAAGGACAGACACACAGAGAGAGATCTCCCATCTTACTGATTTACTCCCCTAAATGGCCACGACAGCCAGGTATACAGTAGCCAAGAAATCCATCTATGTGTCTCACATGTGCACCAGGCCATCATCTACTGCCTTTCCAGGCACAATAGCAAGAAGTTGAATGGAAAGCTGAGTAGCCAGGACACCAACAAGCATTTGAATATGGGATGCCTGCTTGGCAAGCAATAGCTTAACTTACTGTATTATATTGCAGAACTAGATCACTTTGGAACAAAAAAAGGATAGTTGGGATGGCAGCATTGCAACTTTTATCCTGATAAACCTAATATTAGAAAATGTGATTTACATATTTAGTAAAATGAGATTCTTACTGGATATCATAATTAGTCTCACCTATCCAGTCATAGGCAGTACTGGATGACTGCAGTTATTTCTAGGTGAAATCCTATACTATAAAACTTATGACATGGTGTAGAAAAATAGAATGCATGTTCCTGTGTATAACTATGCTCCTAGATACGCATGATAGAAAACAGATGAACTGTGCATCCTTAAAACCATTCCTGGGGCCAGGGTTGTTGTGTAATGGGTTAAGTCACTGCCTGCAGTGCCAGCATCTTATGCTCGTGCACCTGGGAACACAGTAGAGGATGGCCCAAGTCTTTGGGTTCCTGCACCCACGTGGGAGACCCAGCTGGGGCTCCTTGCTCATGTCTTCAGCCCAGACCAGTCCCAGCCATTGAAGCCATTTGGGGAGTGAGTCAGCAGGTGGAAGACTTCTCTGTTTCTCCCTCTCTCATTCTGTCACTCTGATTTTCAAATAAATAAAATAAATCTTTTAAAAAATTATTCCCAATCTCATCCATCAAACTCTTTCTTACTCCTTAAAGAAATGTAAGGATGAGGCCAAGGCCCAGGAATATCTAGAAGAAACTCCTCCTTTGGAAACCAGAAGAACTCAGAAGGGCCTCCCTCTTTTAACAAGGATTATCACTGCATCAAGAGAGTGGCAAGCAAAGATTTTGGTGATTTTTCCCAAGGTGATTTTTAGAGTAATCATGTCAAGATGGCTGAGGTGAGGGCTGAGAGTTTCCAGAAAGAACTATACAAATAAATGCATGTCATTGTTTAAGTCTGTTTGGGCTATTAAAAAAAAAAAAAACTTTACAGGGCAATTAAAAGAAAGCTTAAGTTATAATATAAATATAGTCATGCAATATATGTAATAAATAATAGAAATTCATTTGTCATGGTTCTGGGGAACAAGTCTTCTTGATAAAACACTGGCAGACTGGGTGTCTGACGAGTGTGGGTTCTCTCTGCTTCAAAATGGTCCCTAATGAGGGGGGAGTGCAACTAAATGACATTGCTCCTACAAGAACACTAATTCCATTCATGAAAGCAGAGCACAATAACTTGGTCATTTTCCCCAAAGGCTTCACCTCTCAATGCTATAACATCTGGTACATAGGTTCTAATAAACAAACGCTCCAGAACTATATCAGTCACCAATCACTTCCTAAATGAACACTGCTATCTTTCACTGCCATTCTATCAGGACTATTACCTGGCATGTTATTCTACTCTATAAATTCATGTTCTTTTAAGATTTATATATTTGAAACACAGAGTCACTGCAAGAGGTAGAGACAGAAAGAGAGGTCTTCCATCCACTGGTTCACTCCCAAATGGCTGCAATGGCTGGAGCTGAGCCAATCAGAAGCCATGGTGGGCCTGGGTCAGAAGGACTTCTTTGTGGACATGAGGACCCAGAGCAAGCAAGGCATCCTGACCCTGAAGTACTCCCACTGGGCATGGCATCATCACTAATTGGGACGCCATGGAGAAAATCTGGCACCAAATCTTCTACACTGAGCTGCAAGAGGTCCCTGAGAAGCATCCCTCATGCTTCCCAGAATCCCAGAACCCCAAGATAAGCAGAGAAATGACCCAGATCATGTTCAGGACCTTCAACACCCCAGCCATGCACATGGCCTTCTGAGCCAAGCTCTCCCACCATGCCTCTGGAGTCATGACTGACTCTAGAGATAGGGTGCACATCTATAAGGACTATGCTTTCCCCCAGCCATCTTGTGTCTCCACTTCATTTGCACAGGTCCTGAATACCTCATGAAGATGCTTAGGGAGCGTGGCTACAGAGATCATGCAGGACATAAAGGACATGTTGCATTGCCTCGGACTCACAGGAGAAAAGCAGTAAGTTGTGCCATGGTCATGTGATCATTGTCATGGAGTGGTTCTGGTGTCTGGAGGTGCTCCTCCAGCCCTACTTCCTGGGCGTGGAGCCCTGCATCATACAGCAGGCCACCTTGAACTTCCACCTGAAGTGTGACACCAACATCCACAAGGACCTTTATGCCAATATAGTGCTGTCCATTAGCACCACCACTTGTTGGGGCAATGCTGACAACATTCAGAAGGGGGTCATCACGCTGATGCCCAGCACCATGAAGATCAAAATCATTGTACCTCCTGAGCCGTGTGATGGGCAGCTCCATCCTGACTTTCTTGTCCATCTTCAGATGTGGATTAGCAAGCTCAAGTATGATGAGTCAGTGCCTCCATTACCCAATGCCAATGCTTCAAAAGGCACTGTGAGCAGTGCAGCATTTGCTACATGTATCATTTCACAAGTAGATAATGTCCCTGGCAAATAACTATACCTCATGCTAGCTTCATAAAACTGAATAAGCCTTTGAAAATAATTTTGTCCTTGACGCTTGTGTCTGGTGTTGGCACCTGATTGTAGAACTTGTTGCTGATTTTTGATCTCATATTCAAGTTAACTGTTCCCTTGGCATATGATTAATACCCACTTTGATTTAAACCATAGTCCATGTGGCTTGGTCACTTTGTGGCTGAAGTGAGAACATGCTTACAGACAAGACATCCAGATTTGCCCTGGTGTATCTGCATGACCAGTCTCTCAATCTGCACAAAGCATTAATGTGTCATAGCTAACATTCCAGGATTTCTCAGAGCCTCTGTGTCTGAATCAGTTGTCATTTTCATCTTACCGGTCTTAACAGTGGGGGAGGTCTGCACTTTGAGACCCAGTTTCCCTTTTTACCTGGTTTTCCGGTTATACACAGTAGGCTGTACCAGCCTCGAGCTGGACACGTTACCTTTGCACCTTTACACTTAAAAGTTTATTCATCCTTTTAATTTATGTAAAGTTTTTGTATACAATTACAAATTCTCTAAGAGATCACATCAGTTTTTTGATTCTTTTAATGTTTATTTATTTGAGAGAGAGAGAGAGAGATTCTTCCATCTGTAGGTTAACCCTCCAAATACTGAAACAGCCAAGAATTTGGGTCATCTACCTGCTGCCTCCAGGGTGTGCAGTAGTGGGAAGCTGAACTGAAAAAGAAGGTGCCTGCGGCCGGCGCCGCGGCTCACTAGGCTAATCCTCCGCCTTGCGGCGCCGGCACACCAGGTTCTAGTCCCGGTCGGGGCTCCAGATTTCCAGATTCCGTCCCAGTTGTCCCTCTTCCAGGCCAGCTCTCTGCTGTGGCCAGGGAGTGCAGTGGAGGATGGCCCAAGTGCTTGGGCCCTGCACCCCATGGGAGACCAGGAGAAGCACCTGGCTCCTGCCTTCGGATCAGCGCGGTGTGCCAGCCGTGGCGGCCATTGGAGGGTGAACCAACGGCAAAGGAAGACCTTTCTCTCTGTCTCTCTCTCTCACTGTCCACTCTGCCTGTCTAAAAAATAAAAAAAAAAGAAAAAGAAGGTGCCTGGATTCAAATCAGACTCTGATATGGGATTAGGACATCCCAAGCAGCAACTTAACCCACTGCATCACAATGCCAAGCCTGAAATTTGGGCTTTCTAATGTGATGGGAGAACATTTGGCCACAACAACAGTAATGTACAGAGCAATAAAAGTGCTGCATTAAAAAACTGTCTTATTTTGTACCTACTCAGTGCCTCAGCTTCTGGAATATAAAACAAAATACAATGGTGCCTTATCATAAGGAGCTTCCATTCTGGAAGAGTTACGAAGCAAGTTGTCAAGAGAGAGCCATAAAAAAATCAAGAAAAGAACTATGATCCAAACAATCACGTGGCACCAAAAGAGCTCAAAGAAGAACTCTTGAACTGGTGAAGACTTCCTGGAAGGAGGTGATATGTATCATGGGACTTAAAGTATGACTCAGAGCCACCAATGTAGGAAATGTACAGAGAGCAGTATGCAGAACAGAGCTCATTGCATCTGAGAATAACATTTAGTTCGGAAGGACATGCGCTTCTTTAAAAAGTCACACTGAAGAATGGCTTGAAGAGGAAGCTTCTTCCAGCCATCTGGCAAAAACTCTAGGCAAGAAATGAGAAGGCCCTAAAGCATTAAAAAAATTCAGAGAGAAAACAATAGATCCTGGGGATGTCTAAGGGTTAGAACCCATGGTACTGGTGTCTGTTCAGAGGTTGCAATGTAGGACAGAAGAATCAAGGATGATTTGTTACATTGCTAAATACAGACACCAAATCAGGTTCCATTCCATCACCTCCTAAGGGAGGGTCTTTCCTCCTAAGCTGCCTCATCCTCTTTGAAACAAGCATTCCCTGTAATCCAAATTCTTCATGGTGGTGAAGCCTTCCAGAAATTAGTATCTGCAGAGCTGCATCCAGCCCTGTGTAGTGCTAGGAAGTCACAGCTGTAGGTTTCCAGGAATATCAGGAGTTAACTGAATTTACAAGCTTGGTAGGAACTATACCTCATCCTCCTCCCTGTGATGTCATATTGTGATCACTCAGCTCTTGATAATTAACATGACAACTGACCCTTTGACAATCACATTAAACTGCATGATTTTGTTCACCTCCCATACTACATGGTAATCACATGCATGATAGAGAGTGGGAGGCTCTCTCTTTTAATATACTGGCTGAGGTTAAAATATTCAGGGTGTCAAAGCAGATGGCATCAGGAACTATATTCTATACACAGTTCAACCTATTCCATATCAGCAGTGCAAAGATTGGCTGACAGAAAATCTATGGCTCAGGCTCTGGCATAGAAAACATTAATGCAAACATCCTCTGCCCAAAGGACTTGGCATTTACCACACTTTCTACTGGAAGCACCAGGTTCCTGTGCCAAAGGTCAGGGGCAATGGGATTAACTTCTCCCATATATTTAAGCAAACTGTCCATCACACCAGAAGTGCGGGGACACACACATATAGATACACTGAACTTACTGTAGTTGATTACAAAAAAGGTCAGCTGAGTGATTTGTGGCTACGCATGCACTCGCACACACTCATGCACAAGCACAGACACACACACATACTCAAACACACATATACACATATGAAATATCTGTATAGCAACAGAATGAAAAAAGGAGAAACTCTTAGATTTCAAACAACAAAGAAAATCTGGTCATTACTATCAATAGAGTCTATTGCTCTCAGAGCCTGAATTGCAATGATATTCACTTTTCAGCTCAATGGGTCATTTATTTCACAAAGACTCCCCAAAGCAAGCAAATAAAACAAACACCTTTGTGTGCCACATGTCAACATATTACATTTGATGGGTCTTCTATTTTAATAAATGAATTATCTGCTAAGTAATACTTGAGGATCACTTCACCTGTTGAAACAGAGCATTCCAATATATTTACAAAAGCCACTCCAGTAAGCTCTATATGGCACTCAACAAAGAATTAACACATCAAAAAAATGCATCTTTCTTAGTTTTTCAATCTGCTCAATTTTCTAGAACACTGCATATACTATAATACAATTTTCATATAGATTTAATTTATATTAAACATAATAAAAATATAACAAATGTATTTCATATGGCATACTTGTTATATATTATAATGCACATGAAATATGACAAGTATGTACATTTTTGTTTATATTCACTCAGAACTAAAATTTAAGGTTCTTATATTCATGTTCTTTTATTTGGTACATTCATACTCCACCTAAATGGAAATATTTCTAGAGTGATATAAAGTATGCACCCAGATAGAATGCCTAAGAATGCTCCCATCCTCATCTCCTTCTTTCCATTTTCTTTTGAGCCTATATTGTAAATCCCAGGGAAATGTTTAATTATCAGCAATGAGTGATGTCATCCACTCTGTGTCATTTTGCACATCCTTTCAGGGCATACATTGGAAATGTGCAACACCTCCCAGAGGGTCACATAAAAAGAAAAAGTTTCTCCCCATCACTGATAGGTTTGAATGATGTAAAGCAGGTCAGATTTTAAAAAGTGAAAGTCTGCTCTGTAAAATTCAAAGCAAAAAAAAAAAGTTCAAATTGAATCTTTGACAGATACTGCTTTTAAAAAGACCTGCTATCAGTAAAAAGTGCTGTTCTCCAGGTGATTCCCCATATATTTTTAATACCAATTCGTGTCAGTGTTAACACTATGTTTTGACTGTAAGAGGAAGTAAAATGATTCTGAGTACCTGAGGTGACTCTATTGACACATCAGATTATGCTTAATGTTTCAACAGCAAAGCAAAGTGGAGCAAAGCAGTCTTCCTGCCATGCCTGGCTTATTAAAGCCTTTTTCCAGCCAGGGTGAGGTATCATTCAAGGAAGAGATATTTCAAATATAATCAGTAGGATTTTAATGGGAAAAAATACTCAAAGTAATAGATTCTCTACCCTATAAAGGTTATGTTGAGTGGAAATGTACAACTGGCCCTTTATCAGGGACTCAAAACTTTCTCCCATGGGAATTCCTGATTCCACAAGCTCAAGCAAGAGGAATGGAAACAGAGCAGCTGCAAGCCTGGAGGTTCCCTTGGTCTAACCAGCAGATACTGCAAGGATTTGGGGGTGTATCCTTGAAACGGTATATTAGAGCCAGGGGGTCTAAATGCCTGGAGCTTCCTGAATCATCACGTCCTCGTGCCATACTAAATCTAATCATGCAAGAGAGGCCAGCTTGTAGAAGGTCAACTGCTCAATTTGTTAAGAATTACTCCCATAGCGGAAGTCTGCATGGAGAAAGTGCAAAGGACAATGAAGATGAAGTTCTCATCAAGCCAAGGAAGATGCTAATTCTAACATCCTCACACTCTCTTCAAAGATAAAAATATTACCCAAGTATATCCTACCAAGAAGATCTGGGTATACTTGTCTGTGTGTGTGTGTGTGTGTGTGTGTATTTGGTTTTCATTTATTTTAATGGATGAATAGAAATGGCATATATTTATCATGACACAAGGTTTTGAAATATGTATCCATTGCAGAATGCTGGGCATGTTCTATGTTACAAAAAAGCTAATATCCTTTCCCTTATTTTTTTCTCAAGGATTTAAAAAATATTTGGCACATTGTTAAGGAACACCTGATATTTCATGCTACGGAAATTACACCTTGAGCTTCCTAGACTTAACAGGAATTACCAAAGAGCAGGAAGTTGTTACTAAGGGTAGACCGGGAAGCTTGTTTCTTTAACAACTGAGTAATTACTTTACCTTTTTGTTTTTCAGTGCTTGCTTGTCTGTTTGTTTATTGGTTTGTTTTCATCTGATTCAATGCAACCTGGACTAGAAAGTATCTGCTCACACCTAGGACTATGGGATTTCTGAGACGTATTTCTTTGTCGGTATGTTTGTATATGAATCTAAGTGGAAGAAAGCAGATAATTCTCCCTAAAAGACATATTTTGCAGCTATCTGTGGAAAACAGGCAAGCCATTGCTCGCCTAGTGCTGGTAATCACAAAGCATTTTTCTGAAAGCTTTGTAAATGCTTTTCTCCCTCCAGATAAGAGATTTAAAGTAGACAGAAATAAATGACAGAGCTCACAGTGACTCGCCTCTGTGCCACCGCCGCTCGCCTAGCAGGCTGGAAACTTCAGGCTTTTCACAGTTCCCTGTCAGGTTTGACTCTCCTGCTGCCAGCCAAGACGTGACGGCAAGTAAGGCAGTGTGGAGAATAGAATGAAAACTGGATCCATTCAGCCAGCCCGGATTGCGCCCAGCTCTACCACTGACTGTGAAGTCCAGCTTCTCCTAGGGGAATATCAGGGTGACAAACTCATACTAGAGTGCTGGTAGAAGGAGAAAATTAAAGTGCCGGCATGAAGTAACTGGATGCTTCTTTTCCTTCCTGGAACACACACATTGAACTTTTTTTAAGATTGATTGACTGACTGACTGACTGATTTGAAAGGCAGAATTACAGAGAGAGAGAGACAGACAGAGACGCCAACCTTCCATCTGCTGGCTCACTCTCCAAATGGCCATAACCGCCAGGAATGGGCTAGGCCAAATCCAGGAGTCAGGAGCTTCATCTGGGTCTCCCAAGTGGGTGCAGGGGCCCAAACACTTGGGCCATCTTCTGCTACTCTCCCAGGCCATTAGGAGAGAGCTAGATCAGAAGTGAATCAGCTGGGACTTGAACCAGAGACCATATTGGATGACAGTGCTGCAGGTGGCAGTTTAACCTACTGCAACACAGCACTGGCCCCCCAACACTTTGCTTTTTAATCACATCTAGAAAATATTGTAACTATATACACCAAAGTCAGAAGTACCCAACAAATGATAATCTATTCATCACTTCACTTCAAATCCCTAGCAGTGTCAGCCTACTGGTCATGAACCCTGCATGGCAGAAAGCATCAGATGCATTTTCTTCCCTCAGCACATTCTCTCCAGTTTAGAAGGGAGCCCAGGAAGTGGGCTAATGTGGATGCCTAACGAGCTAGAGTTCCAACACAGCTGCAGTGGATGACTGAGACAGAAAAAGCTTTGGGTAACTCCTACATTTTTAGTTCATTTGGTATTGCCAAAAAAAAGACGTTTCCCTCTGTGTGCCCAGAGGAAATCAGCATTAGCTCTCTCCATGGCACCTCACAGCTGAGCACATGGGACCCAGTGTACCACTCACTCCAGCTCCGTTAGTCTTGCTTCCATTGCTCCTACCTTGATTGCAGTAAAGTTCCACAGCCCCATGAGTGATGCCTTTTTAATTGCTCTCCTCCAAAGACTGGATTTCAAAATATATATTCTGGCCTTGCCATTATTTGACTTCCTGTCTCTCTTCCCAGCCCCAAACTCTTTTTTTCTTACCATTACTAACAAAAACATAAAAATAACGATCACTGGAGCTCGCATGGTGGCACAGCAGGTAAAGCTGCCACCTGTGAGCCAGCATCCCAAATGGGTGCCAGTTCAAGTTCCAGCTGCTCCACTCCCAATCCAGCTCCCAGCTAATGGCCTGGGGAAAGCAGCAGAAAATGACCCACATGTTTTGGCCCTTGTCACCCATGTGGGAGACTCAGATGGGGCTCCTGGCTCCTGGCTCCGGCCTGGCCCAGCACCAGCCTTTTGCAGTCATCTGGAGAGTCAACCAGTAGATGGAAGATCTCTCTATCCCTCTACATAACTCTGACTTTCAAAATAAATAAGTAAATATTTTTTTAAAAAATCATTTAAAAGTAATTATATTAAAAACATTTTAGTGACATACAAAAATGATATAGATACATGCTAACAGGTGCACAAAGATATATACTCACAATTATGATATATTTATAAAATATGTGAATAATAAAATATATGCACTTTAATACATATACTTTTATATCAATTATGAAAGAAGCTTGACAAAATGGGAGAGAAGGAGGAAGGTAGAAAAAGAAGTATTTAAGTTTGTCAGTGCATCAAAGGCTGACAGAACAAAATAAAATCTCTCTTCAGCTTTTCATGAATGTTAGTTTTTCTACACACCTGTACAACAGCCTCTACTTGCCCATAGCTCCTTCTAGATCAATATGCCACAAAGGTGCAAATCAAACCTAAATTAAAGCCAAATCCTCTTTCAGCTCTTAAGCCTAAATATTGCCAAAATTCCCCCCTTAAAAATAGAGGTCTTCTCTCAAAACTGGCTGCTCCTCATTTATCATCCCATTCTGTTTTGGTTTATCATTGTGTTCACAAATTTATTCAAGAAGTATGCACTGAACATCCAGCATGCACCATTAACCATGCTTCACTGGAAACTCAAATATATAAACAGTACTATTTAGTTGTAAACAACAACTAAATTAAGGTGGATACATACAACATTAGCAACACACACACGATACTAGAAGGGTTAGAGAAAAGGCTGAACTCAAACCAAGATGGCTGGTGGAGCTTCCCAGCTGAAGAAACATGAACTGGACAAGTAATTCCCAACCAGATACCAAACACAGATGTTTGTTCCTAGCATAGCCAAAGATGGGAAAGTACGAAACAAGAATTATAGTTATTGAAAACTGTTTTTCATATAGCGAATGTGTTGTAGGGAGGGCCCCTGGGTAGAAGTGATCCAGGTTTTTTTCTCTATGCAAGAAGAAATCCAGGGAAGAAATGCAGGTGAGGGCGAGTAGAGAAGCAAGATTCATTTGAGGCAAAAGTACGTGCACAGGAAGGAGTGCAGGCAGACTCAGGGGAGACAGCTGCAATCAGCAAGGTTTGGGGCTGTCCTTTAATACTATCTGGAGGCAATGGGGGTGCTGTCAGGGGTGGGGATTAACTGGATATCTAAAGAGGTGGAGTTTGGAGAAGGGATTTATGGCTGTCCATTTCCTGGCCCGTTTTTGGAAAGGTCATGGTATCAGGTGTGTGAAGGGAGCAGGTGCATCAGCTTTGGTGATTTTATTATAATAGCATTATAATGAACTAAAGATCACTGCAGAGAGGCACCAGGCAGCCATTTTGGATATCTCTAGCTGGTGCTAGCCCTAAGTCACAAAGTCATGGAATTTATAGTTTTTCTGCTACATGGGAAGCAGGGGTATTTGGACAGTACATGGAAAGGAGGTTTGGGTGAAGCATAGAAACAGGGTTTGGCAGCATGAGCTTGGCAAGATGGGGTTTGGCAGGATGGCTAAGGCTGCCCACGAAGTCTGGCCCCAGGATGGCAAGCCTCAGAAGGCGAGCTTCAGCTCCTCCCTGCCCACATCAAATGGACTCCAGAGTATAGCATTAGGAACCAGAACTAGAGGCAAGCCTCGCTAAACATGAAAAATTGGGGATGCTAAATTTATCCTGTGGCCAAAGGATCATCAAACAATTTGAATCAAGAAAGTGATATAATCACATTTGCATTTTGAAAACTATGGCTGCAGGGTGCAGGTTAAATTAAAGTAGGGGTGGGGAGGGTGGTAGAATAATGGAGTCCATTCAGCTAGGAATCCAAGCAAGAGCTGCTAAAGCAGCAGACATGGCTATAAATGGTAAAAAGCTTTGGAAATAGATTCCAAGGTGTTAGGGGAGACACTGGTAAACTAATGAGGGGTGAAACCCAAGTCTCTGTCTGTGGTGGAATGAGAACGCTGGTGCCGCACTTTCCTCAAGGCAGGACTGTGGGGTTGCTGCTGAGCCCCAGTGGGTTAAGTCACTGCTTGCAAAGGTGGCTTCCCCTTTGAGTGCCAATTCAAGTCCTGGTTGCTCCAGTTCCTATCCAGCTCCTTGCTAGTGTGGTTGGGAAAGCAGTAAAAGATGGCCCAAGTACCTGGGACTCTGCCACACACAAGAGACCCAAATGGAATTCCAGGGTACTGGCTTTAGCCTGGACCAGCCTCAGCCATTGCAGCCTTTTGCAAAGTGAACCAGCAGACAGAATATTTATCTCTCCCTCTCTCTAATTCTGCCTTTTAAAAAAAAAAAAGTAAATCTTAAAAAAAGAGAGAGAGAATATATGAGGATAAACATACTTGGATAAAAAATAATTCCATTTGGACATTGAATTTGAAATACCTATGGAAGATAGAAGTGTAGTCGATGGAAAAGTAGATGTGCAGTTTTAGAGACCAGGAGAAAAGAAGGTCACTGGAGAGGTACTTTGTATTAACTTTCTTGGGTACTTTTTGAAAAAGTGTCCTGTTCCCTTCTCTTCTACCTCAATATTTCCTATACTCTGACAAACCATCAGTTTCAATCATATTACAATTAATACAATTAATCAAATGTTTTTCTATAGCACCTACTGTATTTCAAGGCATGAGAAAACTAAACTAATGATATCCATGAAGTTTAATATAATCAACTTAGAAAATTGTTGCCACATATAAGAGAGCAGGTGCTGCACACAAGTTAAAAAAAAAAAAAAAAACACTCTGAATTTTAAGGTCTGATAACAAAATTGATTTCATGCTTCTCACCTTGCAGCATTACTAAAGAGGATATTGCATTATTTTGTTGTTTACCAAGTGCCCACACATAATTGTGAAATGGCACTGCATGTCCTACTTGCCACTTCTTATCTTTTCCAGATAACTATCAAGAATAATCACTTACATTTGCAGTACAGAAACAGTGAAGACAGGGCATCTGCGGTCCCTGACACATCAGTTTCTAAGTTTAAATAACACCTATCTTCAGAATGGAATATGTATAGCTCTTTCCACTCTTTCAGGTTCAAGGCTGAAGGTGTGGAGAATCTACTCCCAACTGCAAATTATTTTGAATTGGACACACATGCTACGCATTTATGGCAGTCTTGCATTTGGCCCTCATCACGTGTCCAGTCAACAAATGCAGGAGAAAATGACTTTTCCCCCCTCAGGCACTATGCCACAGAAAATCATGATGACAGTCCTTCTCTGGTATTATGTTTTGTGGGAGGAGAGAAGTTCATTTCAAATTAATTTATGATCTGTGAAAAGTGCTAGGAACATGGTTCAGTGCTCCTAGAAGCACACTATGCACCACTCCCTTGTAAAATCCATTTGAGGGGCTCTCAAGGGGAGACAACGCTCCCTGCTCTGGGGTCAGGCTGCCAGCTTCAGCTACTGGTACTCAGAACCATGGAATCAATTTAAAGAGTCAAAGAGGCCTGTCACCTGGAGAGGTTTGGAAAAGACAGCAATAAATGCCACTGTAGTGTCTGAAGGCTGAGCCTAAAGGTATTTCAGTCCACCAGAGGTATCACTGAGCCAATGCATACAGGTTGCTTTTAAAAAACAAACCAAGTCTCTTTCTCTTACAAGAAGCTCATTTCTCATTATTGGAGTCTGCACAGGGCAATAGTCAGTTTTTCATCCAGTTTTGCACTAATGTAACGCTTGTCAATAGCCAATTGGTCCCATTTGATCCAGGGCTTACACATACCAAGAGACTTCGTTACAATCACCAGACGTGTCAGGCCCTGATTAAAGTTGTTTTTCCTGCGGGGTTTATGGATCCATATCTATTTTGCTGCTCCCCAGCTGTCTCATAACTCAACTATGAAGCTTTCCTTCAACACAGGCTTTTTTGGTTGGCACCTGTTTTCACACAGCAATATTAATACTACACACAATTATAAAACTTTTTTTCAGAGATTTATAAACATTTTCTCAGATGTAGAGCAATTAACACCCACCATGTCTGGACCAAAGTTGTATTAATTAGCAAAGATAAAATAAAAGACCCTGGCACTCAACTCCAACATGTCCCCTTCAGGACTTTTCATTTTTTATATATTAATATCATTGTGTTGACAATCAGACTTGAACCAGCTACAAGATAAAGAAATATTTGTTCAGGGCTTCTGGATAAGAAGGAGCGCAGCGCTGCTACGGAATCTAGAAGCCCTCTCTATAGGTTTTTGTAAATATTTGGTCTGTAACTCTGGGAACCAAGTATTGGAGAACTTTAAAACTTTTATAGAAAATGGAATGAAAAGGCAAGTTTATTTTGCTGCAGAAATGGGGGGATCCATGCATATTTTTCTATAATAATATTTTCTATAAACTATCTTTTTTAAAAAGATTTATTATTTATTTATTTATTTGAGAGGAAGAAACAGAGACAGAGGTCTTCCATCCGCTGGTTCACTCCTCAAATGGCCACAATGGCTGGAGGTAGGCCAACCCAAAGCCAGGATCCAGGTGCTTCTTCTGGGTCTCCCACTCGGGTGCAGGGGCCCAAGCACATGGGCCAAATTCCACTGCTTTCCCAGGTCGTTATCATGGAGCTGGATCAGAAGCAGAGCAGCTGGAATTGGAACCAGCACCCAAATGGGCTGGCGATGCCATAGGTGTACCCGCTACAACACAGCACAGGCCCCCTTCTGTGAACTCCCTGAAGTCCCCCACTGAGAATATCAGAAATAAGGTAAGGAATCTATGGTGAGAGCTGGAGCTTGCAACAGAGACCAGAACAGTACCCTTCCTCGTAGTTATTAGTTAGGTAGAATCTGGATGCTCAAGAAGGAAAGCTCTATATGAAGAATAATGTATGAAAAAAATCACAACTGCATCAGAGTTTAAGGGAAAATGGTGGACTAAAACATATAAATATTATTAATGAAGATGCAAACACCCAGGCAGGGAGACAGGTATCTGGGAAGCAAGTACAGTACCTAGAACAATGTTCCAAAATCCAAAATTAGGAAAGAAAAGTTCAAAAAATTAGTGTGGCCACCACAGGCTGCTACTAATAGAGTGACCTTGTACAGAGAAATCTTTGGTGCCAGTCAAGAACATCAGCATTTCCACAAGGGTAGCAACCACCCCAAGCAGATCACCCAGTGACAAATAAATGACTAAATCCAGACCAATGTGTCGTGACTAGCAAATCCAGACAAAGGTATCTCCTGTGCAAGGTCCTGCCTCTCTCAAATTAACCCTTTCTTTTGGGCAGGGGGAAGGGGAGAGCTAAAGTGATTTTAAATGGAAACTGGCCTTTAACTCTTGGATCCATGCTATGGGATTCATGTGAAATATTATGTTCCCTTCCTAAACCACACCATTTATTTTGGCTTCTCTAAGCTTTGAGGAGAATTAGGAATGTGATATAACAAAGTAGAGCAGACAAGGAAAAGACTAGAAATCAAGGAATCCACTTCCAATTCTCTGCCACTCAATCCATCTAGAGTTTGAATTTGGAGAAGCCTTTAAATTTAGAATTGATTTATAATCATTTTTAAGGGTGGCCAAAAGGTCTTTGTTCATAGAACACATTCACAAAGATTTTGGTTTAATCATATTGATGTTCAATCTTAAGAGAAGAGTAACTGGGCCGGCATTGTGGCGAAGCAGGTAAAGCCACCACCTGTGAAACCAGTAACCCATATTGGTGCCAGTTCATGTCCCAGCTATTCCACTTCCACTCCAACTCCCTGATAATGGCCTGGGAAAAACAGTAGAAGATGGCCTGAGTGTTTGGGCCCCGTCACCCACATGGGAGACCTGGATGAAGCTCCAGGCTTCAGCCTGGCTCAGCCCTGGCCATTGCAGCCATCTGGAGAACAAATCAGCAGTTGGAAGACCTCTCTCTCTGTCTCTCCCTCTCTGTAACTCTTTCAAATAAATAAACAAATCTTTCAAAAAAAAAAAAGAGAGAGAGAGAGAGAGAGAGGATTCTATCAAAATCTGTTACTTTCTTAAGAATTGATTACTTTTTGGGTAATATAGTGGTAATAAATCTTTTAAAAATATTGTACCAAAAGTGAAAAATCAGTTTTTAATAATGCATCTTATTCAATATTTACCTTCTAAATGAAAAGATTTAACTGAAAGCACTATCAAAATACTTTTTATAATGTTTGCCTTAAATTCTGAAATTATACATAGTTTCAATTATTGTTACTATATGACTAAGTTTCTGAAAATGCTACAGTAATAATATCTGATTTTCTAAGAGCTCTTTGTTGACTGAGGAATTTTTCTTCACTTTCTTCCAATTGTAATGAACAAAAATATATAAATAATCCTTTAGGACATTTAAAAGGATGAGAACCTTGCAATCTAGACTTCAATATTCCTACTAAGATTGCAAAGCAAAATTTGATTTGAAAACTTCTGGATTATTTTTTGTGTTGTATCTTTGATGCTGAGAAATAAGAATTAATACGTCTTGTAGTTTGTTTATGGTTAGATTAAACCAAGGAAAAAGGATGTTCCAGGAGGAAGAAAGATAAATTTGTCCATCATATTAATTTTCCAGAGAAAATACTCATAAGTAAAGATAGGAGATCAAACATTGGTGTTCCAACTTTGGCTTTTTATTAGTAAATAAAAATTTTAAAAATATCTTGAAAGCCCATAAAACCTTTTTTTAACTTTGTTTTTAACAAAACAGACATGTTTGTAAAAAATGGAATGTTGCTGTCATTTCAAAACTATGAAAGGAAACTTATTTTGCAGTCATTTTATCGATAAGCTTATTCAAAGAAAAGCCTGATTCTCTGACTCAGGAGATTTCTCTCCAGAGTCACAGCAGGCCTCTAAGAATATAAATGCCACATAATACTAGAAAGTAAGATAACTCCTTGAAAACTTCTGCAGAAATTTTCTAGAACCTTGTTCTTTAGAAAATTAAAGATGGAGCTCATTATATGCATGAAACTACTGGGTGCTCCACTTCAGTGTGGAATCGATGCTTCCAGTTGAAAACATCCCAGTACCAGTTGAGGAAAGCAGTGGTAAATCAGAGCACAGCTCTGTGCTGAGGACAACTGTCTCCAACCATTATGTTGTAGTGATTATTTAGCTTTTACCCTAGTATTTCCAGAATGGGTGTCCAATGTTTATATAAAGAACTAGGATATTTTAAAATTAGAATAATCTCAGAACCTGCTGACTATAGTGGCAATGATTCCTGGTGTTCTTACTTAACTAACTAAAAACTTCATTTCTGCACCACTGGAAAAGCAAAGTATTGTGAGCATCAGTGTTCACTTAGTGGCACCTATTGCTGATATTACTTTCAATTGAGATCAAGCAATAGGTCCATTAAAGTAGCAAGAATTTTATTAAATTTCTGCTGGATTCTACAAATTTATAGTTCAGTGATCAGGATTCTAAAATATTCTAAGAGATGCAGGTAAAAGACTAATATCACAGGTTAAAAAAAAAAAAATTACCTTTCCAAGCAAAATAAACTCCTTTCAGACCAAAAGTAAGACAAAGATCTCATGACATGAGTGTGGTCCTATAATGTGTCTCCAAAGATGGAAGAACAATCCCAAGAGATTTCTGACCAGCCATGTAAATTCAGATAATAAGTAAAGAACTAAGGACCAGAATACAAACCTGTCTGGAGCAAAGGGCAATGTTCTTTATTACCCCACATAGCAATAGATAGGGATTGGGATGACACTGCAAAAGGAGACTCTAAGAGTTAAAACAATTTTTTGAAAAATTTATTTGCTTGTTTGTTTAAAAGGCAGAATGACAGAGAAAGAGAGGGGAGTGGGAGAACAGAAAGATCTTCTGTCCACTGATTCAAATGCTATGAAAGCCAGGAGCTAGGCCAAATTGAAGTTAGGATCCAAGAGCTCTATCCTGACCTCCCACATGAATAACAGGGTCCCAGATGCTTGGATCACTAACTGCCGCCTTCCCGGACACATTAGCAAGCAGCTAGATTTCAAGTAGAGCAGCCACAACTCACGCTAGCACTCTGATACGGGGTGCTGTCACCACAAGCGGCTGTTTAACCTGCTGTGCCACAATACCCGCAATACGGGTCCCAGTTAAAACAGTTTATAAAACCTTTCCAAAGAGGGTTTTTGAAATTTCTATCCCAACAAGTCAAAATTCTGGTCATTTATTTTTGCATATTTGTGATTATGTCCATGGAGGTTTGCCCTCGACATGCCTGCTGCCATATCTCACTTGATTTTGAAAACTATTTTCATGTGGATTAGTATGCAGGCTTACCAGCACAGGTTATATCCTCCTTCCTATTTACTGCGTGAAACTGCAGCCTGTCTTTGACACACAATACACTTAGTTAAGAATAACTCTATTATCGCTCTCGAAACAAGACTGCTGCAGAGGTGACAGTTTCCGCAGCGGAGGCAAGCAGATGGCTCTTCATGGCTCCCCACTGGCCAGGTCACTGAGTGACTTTGATAGCAGCCAGTTGCCTGCCCTCTCAGGGTGAGACACACAAATACAGCTGCTCTTGGGGGAGAAAGTTGGGCAAGAAAGGCAAAAAAATGACATCCAAAGGGGAAACAAGCAAGAGGGATGAGGCCAAGACCACAGGCTCGCTTAGAATTGGTTCATTTTACCAAATAATTACTGCAGAGGAATAAAGACCATTGATATACAATCTCAGTTATGTCATGGGACAAAGCATAACATTCAATCTGACGCCTGGGCTTCTTGCCCATAATAAAACGTATCACATAATGAGACTGATTTCCTGCATTAAAAAAGAAAGGAATAATCTTTATTTCCAGTGTAAATCATCACCATTAGTTCACAAAACACTTTTCTTTGTTCAGGAATTATGGGAAAGAGAAGTTGAAACAGAACGTCAAGGAGAAACCATATAAATATATTACTAAATGATAATCCTTTTACAGAGTCCTATAGTTTACTAAACATTTTCACTATTATTAGACTAAAATTAATCTTTATAAGACAGGGCCCATTAACCTTTTTTACAAAGGAGAAATTTGAGACACGTTAGGTCTTATATAACTTTCCTGAGATCTCACTGGTACAAAGAAAAAAAAAAAAAACTGGTACTTAAGTGGAAGCTTCAAATCCAAACCCCAGCCAGGAATGTATTTTCCACAAGACTATATGGCCTCTGACCACACATTTTACCTCTGAAAAAAAGCATCTATGTCAAGCCAGCTATTTCTCTCATATTTCCACAGTCAGAGCATGTGACCTGTGTGGTTACACAGAGCCCCGTGATCAAAGGAGCCCTGAACTTGGCTTTACACCCTGCTGTCACCATCTTGAAGGCTGAACAAGATGCCCCACATTTTCATTGTGCACTGGGTTCCACAAATTGTCTAGCCAGTTCTTCCCACAACACCCGGAGTAACCCTGCGATCACTGATCACGCTGGACTATGATTGTGGGTTTAGTAATCTATCCCCTGCAGCAGATGGTCACCCCTTGCTAGCAGGCTTCTAATATCTTCCATGATGGACTTCATTACCTCTGATCTCATCTCTGCCCTTCACAGCCCCTGCAATAGCCACACTGCCCTCTCAGCTTTTTTTCTACTACACTGAGCACCAGCTCCTATTCCTAAAACGCTTTTCCCAGGATGCTTCCATGCTTGCTTCCTCCTCTTCGTTTTTCTGTTCGAACGCTGTATCAGCATAGAAGCCTTCTCTGGTCGTTGGCTTAAACATGATGCCCCCCCTTCCACACATTTATTTACCCTGCTTCATTTTTATTTAAATTATCAGGGTAACACCTTAAATAATACATATTTGTTCATTTGATTTACATTGTTGTTGTAAGATGGACAACAATGGCCCCCTAAAAATTCATACATCAAAGCGCTGATCTTCAATACCTCAGAATGTGACAATGGAGGTAGGCTCTTTAAATGAGGTGATAAAATTAAAATGAGCCTATTACGTTGGGTCCTAATCTAATCTGACTGGTTTCATATAAGCAAAGGAAATTTGGACATACAGAGAGACAGCAGGAGCAGCTGCACACAGAAGAAAGACCTCATGAGGACACAGTGAGAAGGTGGCCATCTGTAAGTTGAGGAGAGAGGCCTCAGGAGAATCAAACTTGTCAACACCTTGATCTTGAATTTGTAGCCCTAGAATCATAAGAAAATAAATTTCCGTGCTGTAAGCCACTCAGACTGTGGTATTTTGTTATGACATCCCAAGCAAACTAATACAATTGTCTTTGCTATAGCGTGATGTCTCTGAGAGGAGGGATTTCATAGTGTCTACAGCTATTGAGCTAGGGCCAAGCAGCAGACACAGTAGGTATTTTAAATTGTTGAATAAGTAATGAGTGATTTCCTAATTACTTATGAGGAATTTTAAGAGGATCTTCAAATACTTTGTGGTACAGAAATGTTGCATTCCATCCTACCTGAATTATTTACACCACTGAAGAGACTTGGAAACCCTTATATTAAATAAAGCTTTTCATTGCAATGGGACCCAACCAACTTTGTTTTCATCCAGGCTTACAGTAGAGCAATAATGCATTATGTCAGGACCAAGACACTGCAGTTCACAATACATGCTAGAAGAAAGGCTATCACAAAGTATTTGTTATTCGAAAAATCACAAAAAACAACCTACAGCAAAAATCAATCAAGAATTAAAAGGATACCACACAACCTGCCTCCCATGCATTTGTCTGATAGTCAAGATCAGTTACAACTAATTGCTTTCAGAACTTCTAAAGCTATGTAACTATGGCTTCATTCTGACAAACAACACATTCAAATAGCTACATGTTGCTCCAGTTGTGTCAATATCACCACGGCTTTTGTCCTCACATTAACAGGACAAAACAAATGAGCAAATTACCAAAAAAATACAATCATTGATAGTGCCACAGTTCTCTTGACTCCTATGCCTGGGGTGCCTAGTATTCTCTGGGAGGCACCACATACTGAGCTCTTCCTGGTATTTCTGTCTCTGATGACATTTTTGGTGATGACATGAGTGATTAAGGTCAGACATCTTCTATGAGGTATATAGGTGCAAATGGAGCTGCTTAAGTATTACAAACTCCTAAAATAACACAAGAACTTAAGTTAGAGGCCTGGGGCTAGCATTGTGACCTAGCAGGTACAGCCAACTTCTGCGACTCCAGCATCTCATATGGATGCAGGTTCGAGACCCTGCTGCTCCATTTCCAATCCCACTCCCTGATAATGCACCTAGGAAAGTGATGAAAGTTGGCCCAAGTGCTTGGGCCCCCACACCCATATGGGAGATCCAAAAGAAGCCCCTGGCTCCTGGTTTCAGCCTGGCACAGCCCTGGTCATTACAGCCATTTGGGGAGAGAACCAGTAGATAGAAGAACTTTCTATTTCTCTGTAACTCTGCCTTTGAAATAAATAAAATAAATCTTTAATAAAAATAAAACAAAACTTGCCTTTAAAAAAAAAGAGGCTGGCACAGTACAACAGATTAAGCTGTCACTTGCAATGCCAGCCCTATTACCAGTTCAAGTCTTGCTATCTCCTAGTGCACCAGTTCAAATCTCAGCTATTCTACTTTAGATTCACCTCCCTGCTAGCGCATCTGGAAAAGCAGCTGAAGATGACCAAGTACATGGGCCCCTGCCACCATGGAGGAGATTTGGATGGAGTTCCAGGCTGGAGTTTTGGCCTGGTCCAGACCTGGCTGTTGCGGCCATTTGTGGAGTGAACCAGCAAGCAAAGATCTCTTTCTCATCCTCTCTTGGCCACTCTGCCTTTCAAATAAACAAAATAAATCTTTTTTTAAAAGAGTTAAAGTTATTTCCCTGCTCCCCAGATATGTGTTCTTGCTGCTTAAAGTAGTGCAGACCCATAGGATGTGTTATGCAGATGTCCATGATTTCTATTTATAAATGTATGAGATCAAGAGGAAAGGGACCTTGTGGTAGGAAGTTCAGAGCAGCAATTTTACTCCTGGCTTTCTCAAAAATCTTATTTCTACACCACTGAAAACAGGGGAAGATTTTGATGTATTAAAGATACCTATCGTATGCCAAGTGCCCTAAGAAGCTCATCTTAAGCCATTTAATTATCAACCTAAACCCCTGGAGTACTTACTGCTTTCAATAGGAAGTAAGGAAGCTAAGGTCCAGAAACATCAGGAACTTGTCCAAGATCATACACGTAGGAAGTGACAGTTACAGTGAAAGAAACTATCTCTTACTTTTGGAAGGTTATCCTCTACCCCATTCTATCTTTGAGTTGGGGACAGAGCTAGCTAATTCGGAGGAGGATGTGTGTAACTTAGGTTTCCTTGTCCATAATCATACCAGGATGAGGATAAACCTGGAGCTTTCCTAGGAATTGCTAAGTAGGTAGGATGTTACACTGGATTTATCACAGTAATCATAGGAAGAAATTTTGGCTCAAAATGAAGCTACCACAGAGATAATCCAAGCAAGAAACAAAAAGAAATGGTTGAGAGAGGTAAATAAAGAAAGAGATATATAAAAGCATAATTTGACTTCTATATCTAGCCATACCAGCATACATGCAGAGATCCACACTCTAGGCTTTTCACTTTGTATGCCAATTGAATATTTTTTCTAAAGCAAATTTGAATGTTTTTGAGTTTTGTCATATGCAAGCAAGAGACTTAATAAAATAAGTAGATTTGGGACATAGACTATTTTTATCAATCCTATATTAATTTTTAAAATGTTCTTTTTCATTCAATAATTAAAGTTTTGAAAACAAATAACAATATATCACAATCTTCAATCTAATGACAAGAATCATAAGAACCTCTGTAGGTACAATAGTATTTATATAGTGTCAAATCTACTATAAAATGTAATAATAATTATTGACAGAAAACTGGTATTTTCTTAACCTTGCTGTAGAAAACCAAGGCTTGGAGGACTTAAAGGGATTTGATCAAGACCGCTCAGCTGTTAGAGGCATGGATAACTTGACCACTTGTCATTCCACTATTACAAATATTTCTTATTATTAGCAAATTAAACAACCAGAATGACAGATGCTCTTCTCTGGAATAACAAAAAAACTCATTCACCAAAGACAAGGGAAAAGTTCTGGTAATATTTCATTTTATGATAAAAATCTTAAGAATAGGACCTCATTTCTAAGTTGAATAAAGAATTAAAATTCTTTCTACACCCAAAATTTTCAACTTTCATTTCAGGGACAACTTTTTCTTTCCCAAACAAAATCTTCCTTGGTATCTTGTTATATAAAATAGAGGACTATTTTTAAACCTATATATATATATATATATATAAGTTATTATATATATTATATATATAAGCTATTATATAATATCTCCTTAAACATTAATGAAAATTTAAAATATTACAGATGAACATTCATTTTGGAATCAGAGAGTTGTCCACATCTCACATTAAACACCCTGGGTTCAATTCCTGAATCCAGCTCCTTGGTCCAATTTCCTACCAAAGACAACCCTGGAAGGCAGCAAGTGGCAGCTCATGTAATTAGGTTCCTGCCATCTATGTAAGAGACCAGGACTGTGTTCTTATTCCTAGTCTCTGCTCTGGGCCCAGACCCAGCCATTGCAGGCATTTAGACAGTCAGTTAGCACACATGATATCTGTCTCTCTCTCCCTCTCATTTTCTCTCTCTCAAATAAACAATCTTACAATAAAAAGAAACCCATTATCCAAGCATAAATATAGGAGATTGTTGTCTGCTAGAATAGTTTGCAACAGCAATAATATCCACCTGCCAGTTTGGAATGGGAATGTATTTCCCATACACACACAGCCCAACCACCAGCACCACCACCAGAAAGCAGCATTCAAAGTAGAGTGACATCCGGAGGCAGCTACTTGGATTTTCTGAGAATCTCAGTAGCAGATACTACAGCCCCAAAGTCTAAGAATTTTACTTAGAAGTATACATAAAGTAAAAGTCAGAATCTCAAGGAATAAAAATACCAAATGAATCATCAAATCTGAGTTCAAGATATAAGACAAGAAATAAAACATGTTATTGAAACTGAGATTCAAGGTAGGGCTTGGTTTCAAAACTTTAATTAATATTAAGTCAAAGCCATTTGATCACAGTAAAAGAGATTCACTTAATAAAGGTTCTCCTAGACTATCCTCCTAAGATTTCTTGATTTTCCTAAACTTGGAAAGGTCCTGATTCTTATCGTCTATGATGGGAAAAGGCAGCTTTTCTGTGGGCTCATCTCCATTGTAAGCATTGATATCCTTGCTCCAGGCAAGATGGTCCTCAACGCTGTCTACAGACAGGGCGATCAACTTCACATTCCTCTTGGCAAATTCTGGTGCCAGCTTTGCAGCTCAGCCAAGTTCCGTGGTGCAAACTGGGGTGAAGTCCCGAGGGTGGGAGAAGAGGATGCCCCATGAGTCTCCTAGAAAGTCGTGGAAACTGACTTTCCTAAACAGGAAAGGTCTTCCTTTTCTGCTGGTTCACCACCCCCCCCACAATGGCCACTGTGGCCAGTGCACCGCACTGATCCGAAGCCAGGAGCCAGGAGTTTCTCCTGATCTCCCATGCAGGTGCAGGGCCCAAGCACTTGGGCCATCCTACACTGCACTCTCGGGCCACAGCAGAGAGCTGGACTGGAAGAGGAGCAACCAGGACAGAATCCGGCACCCTGACTGGGACTAGAACCTGGGGTGCCAGCGCGTCAGGCAGAGGATTCGCATATTGAGCCACAGCACTGGCCTCCAAAAACTTTCAAGTGAAATTTTGCAATGTGAGTCATATTTTGATATTAAAACTTTAACCTCAGTTGTATAATAAGCTAACTTTTACAATCTCAGTATTTATATAGATTCTGTTAAAGGCAGCCTATTTGAACCCTTCCATACAACTTCAAAAAATTAAGCAGATTAGAAATATCTTCTTGTCATACTCAAATAAAAACCATGCTATATCAGTATAGTAGACTATTAATTCCCTTTTACATATTCATTCTCTTCTTCTTCAAGAAATTTGAAACAGACCCAGAGCAAACCCCAAACAGAAACAGAAAGTACTTCTCCATGGTAAACATTCAGCTACCATCCACTAAAACAGTTTGCAGTGGGCTAGTACACATCCCATGTAAAAGTTCTTTAATAAAACACATTCAGCTG